TCCCTGCCAACACATTGTTTCCTCGGAAAAGGAGATAACACAATCAAAAGAAAAAAGATGAAGAAGAAAAAATGAAAGAAAATACAAAAGGAAAGTTTTTCTTTCATAGGTACTGCATGCACTCAAAAATCTCTTAAAGTGGATAGATATTAACATCAACTGGAAAATAGTTACTTTAATGCAGTTCTCAAGATAAGTTTGTGGACTAAAGTTATCTGGTTTATGCAAATGAGATGGATTCCATTACATGACCCAAGATTAAGCATTACTGTTTTTCACACAGTATCTTAGATCCTTGTTATTTTATTGTTGTATTTTATATGACTGAAAATAATAGAAATATTTCTCAGAACTTCCTGAATATATGCAAAAACCATACCGTTTTTTAAAAAATAACTTACCTTCTTTTACTGATTCCTCCTTTGATTGGCTTAATGTTAACAATCTGTTACATTTTTCCAGCTGAAGAACCAGTACATTATTTGCTTCATTAATTTCTGATATTTTCTAGAAAATTGGAAGAAGACTAAAGTTATATTAGTATCTTTTGATTTAAGTTTTAAATCTTGAGTTTTAAATGAATATGAAACTTAACAATGTCACAACACTGCAGTCACAAACCTGTATTATTTGCCATTCTGGAAATTCCATTACAGAGAAGAACGATGCTAGACTTGAAAGCCTATGCTATTGTGAGTTTACCCTGCAGAACTGAGAATGCCGATTTACATCACTAGTGATAAACTGTTTTCTTCTAAATTCTGTAGTCCACTGTCTGGATCAATCCTCAGCAAGGTTCTTTCTTCTGCTTTGCATATGAGGCTGTCAATGCCCTTGCTGAGCACCAACATGAGTAATGGGTGTGAATAGAAATTGGTATAATATGTTTTTCCATGAGAAATTCTAAATTTATTTCAGGTGCCCCTTTTATATTATCGCTAGTATGGATTTACTAGTAGATCAGGACATCACCAGAGAGCTGGCCAACGTGGGTCTAACAAGAAATACAGTACTTATTTTCCTCAGTGGATCAATCTTTTAAGAACTGACATACACGTAAAATAAAGAGAGCTCAATGCATATGGAATATAAGAACAGATGCTCCTGCTATGGCAATGACATTTTTCTAGAACAAGGAACAATTTCTGAAAGGATAGTCCAGCCAAGCTGTGTAATACTGTTATCTCCAATACCAGCTTCCAGTACAAAGGTAGACTTCCACACTTTTCCTGAGAAGCCAAAATTGGCCTCAGCACCACAGAAAGTCTAGCACAGAAACAAAGGCTTCTCAGACTCCACAGAAGTCACTCATATCACTCTGAGATACAGTCAATACAAACACTTTCCAAACAAAGTTGGTATTACAAGGCATATTAATAAGAATAACATGATACCACTTAGAAGAAATTTTCACTTGAAAAGCTTATTAAAATATCACAAAATATTTATAGACAGCAGTTTCAACATTTTTTGCCTTCTTCACTTACCTTTTCTATCTCTGAGAAATTATCTAGAAGTTTATCAAGGTTCACCACACTGATTTGCTTCATAGTTTCCTCATGGCTGTGATTCATTTATTTCTGGACCATATAATCCAGTGATTGCTGTATATATAAAAAATGGATCTATGAGTTCATATATTTCTCATTCATACTATGTCAAAAGATTTCATATGCATAAATGTAAGCAGAACAAAGAACACCTTTTTTTTTTTTTAAATTAAAACTATTTTTGCATGTGAAGCTAAACTTCAACCAAACTAAGATCTTGCATTTCTAGGAAAGACAATGAATGTCAGAAAGCCCAAGCAAAAATCTGTCAAACTGTTTCAAAACATACGATCAATTTCTCTTTAGATACGCTGCTAAAACAGACTGGTCTTCCTGTCCTCACTTTAAAGAGTAGGAAATTCAATCAATTGAAACAATTACTCATTTTCTACTGTGCGTATTTTAGAGGCAACAGATGAAATTTTGTTGTTTGATTAACTTAAAAAATGCTACTTAAGCAAATGAGATTTTACCAGGCACACATTAGTGCAGGATATAGACCTTGTACCTGTGTAGATGCTCTAATACTTAACTAATCAGGCTTCAAGTTACTTACATATTTTCTTATAAACAATTTGCATTAATATCAGCGATGAGACACTGCAGCACATAAACCTTACCGTGTGAGTAAACAGACAGTATTTTGAAAAGCACCCATACAATTCCAGAATAACACAATTCCTGTTTTTAGTAGAATCATAGAATCATTAAGGTTGGAAAAGACCTCTAAGATCATCAAGTCCAACCATCAACCCAACACCACCATGCCCACTAAACCATGTCCCTAAGCGCCTCATCTACACGCCTTTTAAATACCTCCAGGGATGGTGACTCAACCACTTCCCTGGGCAGCCTGTTCCAATGTTTAACCACTCCTTCAGTAAAGAAATTTTTCCTCATGTCCAAAAAAATAGTAGAAAACCTACTTACAGACTCTTCAACATACATTTGCAAGGCAGATCTGAAAGACACAATATGAATGCTTCTAAAAATATTGAACTATCTCTGAACATCAGGCTCTATGAAACTTCCATGTTTCATAGCTCCAATGAAAAGTTCCAATACCAGATAAACCATGTATTCCAGACAAAATCATCACTCGTATGTGTTAATATATGTACTGTATTTTTACAAATAACGAAAAATTGCAACGAGAGAGATGAAACAAAAGTTAGAATGTGTGCACTACCCAGAAACTGAATGGGTTTCCAGGCAGAAATACTTAAAGGTAGGCGGAAATAGATATGTAAATGAACAACTACTAAGCAGGAACCAAAATTACATAACTGAATTATTTTCTGTCATTTGGTATTTACAAATCTTTACATGTATGTAACTTCTTTACCAAAGCAGTAAGATAAAGATATCGGTTCTGTGTGTTTAATACTCATTTTTCTCTTGTATCCACTGTTTCCTCAGAGGGATTAAAACTAATTCATTAGCTAAAGCTAATTAACTTTTTTTTTAAATCAACAATTTTTAGGAATATATGTAACATTAAAGAACTAAGGCTTCCAAGTTAGTGATTTTTTACTAAGTTAGCAATCTTAATGACTTCTAACTGTTATTACAATGCAATGATTTGTTAAAATGGAGTTTAAAATATTGATTCAGGATATTCAATTTTGTAAAACAACTACATATCTTAATATACTATTAGTTGATAATCTAAATGTACACTGTGAATACCAAGCCCTGATCTTTCCAGTCCTTATCATGGGCAGGATCTTAATCTGTCTGTCAATCACTGTTTCTTCTCATCATGCTCTTAAACCTGTGCTTTACCCTCTAAATTTTGACTGAGGATGGAAGTTCAGGGAGCTGCCTTGTTGTGTGCTGTTTTGTTTGTGTGTTTCCTTATTTCATGGCATCATTTGTTCTCTCAGAAGACTGGATGTGCTCAGCACTTGGCAGCATTAAGCAACAGTGCCACTGGGAATAGAACTCCTGCTGA